TAGTCACAACCATATATACCAAAGGATACCATTTTTTTTTAATATATGTTTTTTTGGTATATATGGTTGTGACTATTTTCTTCCACTATTTGATCTGAGGAAGTGGGTCTGGCCCATGAAAGCTCATCATCTAATAAACCATCTTGTTAGTCTTTAAAGTGCTACATTGTCCTGCATTTTGCTTCAGTCTGAGGAAAGACTTCATATACAGGTAGACTAGTTTAAATTGATAGAGATGTGCTTGTTTGACCTAGGCCAGGTTAAATACAAAGTTAGTGACTCTTTTCCAAATGGGATGTCATCTAGGGCTGATATTACTGTTAGAGCCCTACTATGTCTTTCTCAGCAGACTGTCTTATTGTGTATAAGGTTATAAACACCAGAGAAACACAAGCTGAAGAATAGGATTGATTAATGTGACATATTTGAGTTTCTTTTAACAACTGTCTCAACAGCAAGTTATAGAGTTCAGCTTCATACAGAGTAAATAAAGTTTAAATTACACAGTCTTGGCTAGAACACTGCTCAGTTATAATCCACTCCCAAAATGAAATTTGATTTTTTTCTACATGAACTCTTTCCTGGTTTTTCATACCCTGTTATTTCTGCCAGCATTCCTATTGCTCTGTCTTATTTTATTCCACATTTAAAAAAACCCCACTTTTCTGATATATCAATTTTCACTAGTTTACCTCTTAGAATTATAATGTGTCCACAAATAAATTGAAAAATACAAATCATTGAACAATTATTTCTTCTGTAAATATTACAAGAACTGTTTGGGGGAAAAATCTATATTTTCAATAGCAAATTAAGATTACTGAAGTATCTTTCTGTGGGTTTTCTCAGTCTGTTGTTTTTATATCTTGGTTATTTTTTTCTTGTTATGTCTAAAACAAGGGCTATACTTTTTTCTTGTTATGTCTAAAAACCAGTTGTAACTAATTTTCATTAGACTGACACATAAGTATTTTAATGTGCTTTTCCTGGGGAAACATGCTATGATCGTATGAACCGATCTGACAACAAAGAACTAGAGAAAAAGAAAACCATACAATTAGAAGAGGTTTGATTCCTCAGTCCTATGCCTGAAAGTATGTTCTACCATGGCCTCTTGTCTATAGTCACTAAATTCCTGTCTGATGGATTATAGAATCCATCCTGTTATGCAACCCCTCCACCAGCTTCAGTGACATATCATCTATAACTAGAGCCCTATCAAATTTGCTTCCATGAAAAAAATGAAATGTGTAATCTGCTGTCCTCTCTGTGTATCCACACCAGGACCTGGGTAAGGCATCATGCTTGGTTTCTCTGTCTGGATGCAGGAGCAGGGGGAGGAGACCAGAGCAATATTGACACTGGTGCACAGCCTTTCCTAACCATGTTGATTTTAGCCTTTCTTTCTCCCACAATCTTTCTCTCAAATTCTCCTGTTTGCTGCCGTCTGTGCACTAAATAAACAACTTCATATTCTTCATCCCCAGTTGTGTTCTGCAGTCTAGTGTTAGTTAAGTATTATCGGAAAAGAGTCTCATGTCATCATCCAATGGCCAGCAGCCTAATGTCCAGAGCTCATGAGGCTTCTTGATATTTATCCTCTGCTGTAAAGTCTGTTATTGTCTCTACTGCCACAAATAAACTGTAATTCTTTGAGCTGGGAAGACTGGTCAGCAGCCTCCTTTGAAACAATCCCCAAGCAAGATTGCAGCTGGGTGACATTGTGTAGTTCCACTGTGATGACTAAGAGCCAAATACTTCATTGTTGTAAGTAGTCCTTATTCATGTAGATAACCATGTAGACTTCAGCGAGACTATTGATGTGAGTAAGTCTATGTCTTTACTACTGGTTTTTTCTGGGATACTGGAGGTATCCCGGAAAAACTCTGCCGTGTCCAGGGAACATGTCTGCTCTTCTGCTTTTTTTTTTTTTTTTGCGGAAGTGTAGACGCGCTCTTTTGGAAGCCCTGTCTTCCTCCTTCCATGAGGAAGAAGGGCTCTTCTGAGAGAGGTTTTTTTTCTAAAATTTGGCCTAGTGTAGATGGGCCAAGTTTTGGAAAAGCCTCTTCTGAAAAAACTATCAGAAAAAGGTATGCAAATTGCAGAGTGCAATTTGCATAACTCTTTCTGATAGATCAGTGTAATCTAGACATAGCCTAAGTAAGGGTCAGGGCCTAAATGTGGAGTTATTCATCAACTTCCAACCTTTACAATGTGTGATTTTTGCCCATTTTTATATAGGTCTGATTATTACAAAATTTTCTGAGCATCTTTTTTTTTAATGTCACAAATGTCAAACTTTTTAAATAGCCCGACATCACAAAGTAAACACTGCAGTCATTGAAATTGAATTCTCCTAAAAATATAGCAATGAACCTAGAAAGCAAAACTGTAATGAAAAGAAACCATGGTTGGCCTTTCAAGGTGTATACCTGCCATTCAAAAAAAAAAGGAAATCATACATCTAGATCACTGATAAAGCAAATTGAACAGCTCACCCAAGAGACATTCTAACCTTCTTTCATATCATGACAACACCATCTTTGTGTTTTCCTGTTAGACACTCACTGAAACTGCAGTGGAAGGTGTCTCCGATTTTTAAATCCTTGTTTAATGAAAGCTTTCGTGTAGCTGTCCTTTAAATTGGTAATATTTATCACAGGTGGTAACAGCAAGTGCAGTTCATTTTGGAAAACTAATTTATGTGAACTCTCTTTGTCCGCATTAAAAATCATCAGAAAAAGGCAATATAGATGTACACCTTTCATATTTCCTGATATTATTTAGCTAGATCCCTTAGCAGTATTATAAATCCTACTGCTTTTATCATTGAAAGAAATGGGAGGTTTACCAGAAAAAGGGACTAGTATTTGGCTCATAGTATTTTCTTTTTATATCTATTCTTCATATATTATTCGAGCTAATCTGGTATCAGGATAATTTAATCAGGTATGTACTCCAGCAGCAATGGTGGCCAGAGCTCTGGGACCCTTGGAATCACCAAACTCTGGGACAAGTGCCCCTCTTTGCTCTTCACCCCTCCTCCCTCATTGGCAGGCCTAACAGTGGCCATTTCCAAATGTTTCATCGAGAGGCTCAGTTAATTTGAAATGGACAATACGTTGAAGATAAAAGAAAGTTCTCTCTTAAAAACATTGCCAAGGGTACAGCTACACTGCAGCTCACCCATGCCAGCTACTCAGTCAGCAAGGGCTTAAGCTGAGTCGCTGTTTTATTGCAGTGTAGCTGTTTGGGCTCTGGCTTCCCTCCTCACAGAGGCCAAGAGCCTAGGGTCCTGCTGGAGCCCAAGCAGGAGTTTTCAAATTTCATTTCACTGTGACCCCCTACTGGCCACAAAAAATATTATACAACCTCAGGTTGGGGAACCAAACACTGAGCCTGCCCCAGCCCAAAGGCAACATCCAAGGTCTTCAGCTCCAAGTGGGAGGTTTGTAAATTTAGCCCTCTACCCCTGAGCCTTCAGTTTCGACGTTGGGTGATAGGGCTTAGGCTTTGGCCGTGGACCCTAGAAAGTCTAATACCAGCCCTGCTGACCCCATTAAAATGGGGGTCATGACCTACTTTGAGGCACATACTCACAGTTTGAGAACCAGTGGTCAACACTACAATTTAACAGTCCTGCAAGCCCAATCTGTGTAAACTTGAGTCTGCTTGCAGAGGTCAGCTGCAACTTTTAAACTGAAGTATAGAAATACCCTAAGTGTTTGACTTAAATATATAATCCTTTAATTCTTCTCTTTCTAATGTAACTGTGGATGTCCTCATGGAGTTCATGAATATCTATTAATTTTTTAAAGCAACTAAATTCTGGACACAGTAATTGTACATTCATAGTACATTCTGTTTCTGTTCAATCCTTTTTGAAATATACTTATCAGAAGTCAATATAGCAGGTGTGGCCAACCTGAGCCTGAGAAGAAGCCAGAGTTTACCAATGTACATAGTCAAAGAGCTACAGTAATTTGTCAGCAGTCCCATTAGGTGCTTCCTCTCCTGTCTCCAGTATCTTTTGCCCACCAGCAGTCCACACAGATCAGTGCCTCCTCTTCCTTCCCTGCCCTCCTGCCCACTGCAGTCAGCTGTTTTATGGCACTCAGGAGGCTCTGTGGGGGAGGGAACGAGAGAGGGTGCAATATGCTTGGAGGAGGAGGTGGAGCCAGGAGTTGAGTACTGGAAAGTTGGCACCTGTAGCTGCAGCCCCAGAGTCAGTGCCTGAGCAAGAAGCTGCATATTATCTTCAGAAGAGTCACAGGTGGCTCCAGAGCCACAGGTTGGCACCCATGCAATACAATAATTCTCTTTTATATGAAGATTCTATTATCAGTTAATATTATCGGTGTTATTTCTAACTCATCCTTTGTACATTCTGTCATTTTATTTGCTGTTTTGACCATGGCTATGCATTAAGCATATGTTTTCATGAAACTGTCTACAAATGCTGCTCCGTACATTTTCCTGAACAATTATAAATATTCTGTAGCAGCTGATATGGTACTGCAGCTACTCTTGAACGTTCAAGTATAATTGTTGCAGAAATACTATTGATGCACCTTTGATGGTTCCTGCAATTTAATATGCTCTGTTTTGGTTAGAAATTATGTCTCTATTTTTTGTACATATTCATAGATTACATAGTAAACAGAGAGAGAGAAGAGAATAATATCTAAATGCACATACGCTCTCCCTCTATGTTTTCATTCTTGTTAGAACAAAATGGCCGAAAATAGTTTTCATGAAATTTTTAATTTCCTGCTTTTCATATCTTCATGTCTTCTTTGAAAAATTATGTGAATGCATAGAAAACCAGAGCCCCATTATAATACAAATGAAGAATGTCTTTGTATCATAAAATATTACATCTGAAATGCTTAGCCATTTATATTTTGCATAAATCTGAGTGATGACAGATATGCTAATGATCATCTGTGCACATACTGGCACAGTTTAAGTGAATCTACTTGACTTTGTTTTCTTTGCAGACCACAGATGACATCCTGGTGGCCTCAGCTGAATGTCCCAGTGACGACGAGGACATTGATCCCTGTGAGCCGAGCTCAGGTGGGTTAGGTTAGTCAACTTTTTTCTTCCTTTCTTTTATTTCATATTTGCATGCTATAATCACAAAGAGAATGTGAATTGGCAAATCTTTGCGTAAGACATGGGTAGAGAGTGGCTAAGTGACCTTCATTTATATGTATGGCCAATGCTCACTGTTGACAAGGAGACAATTTTCAAAGCTAGATGATGGAAGCAAGTTGTTGACACTCCTGAACTGAACACCTTTAACAATATGGTAAGCATCTGAGACCAGATTCAACAGTACCTTCCAGTGCTCAGCAAACTATTTTGTTGAGTGTGAGTTGTTCTTTTATCATCTATTCTGAATGGATACTTGACTGTTCAGTATTTGTCACAGCTCTTGTTACTAATTGGGACTGTGCATTAGTTGCATTTAATTCATTAGTCACTTCAGATGCCTTGGTAATCTCTCAGTACTTGTAGTAACTTAGTGTAGTTATCTGAAGTAAAATGGATACATTTTGTATGTGATGACTGTATGAAGTCTAAGTACAAGTAGAGGAAACTTGAATAATGGCCTGTATATTAAGGTGAGCAATCACAAGGAGCACTTCATCTTCAGTGCATAAGAGCAACCAGATGAGAATCACAATTATTATTTTTCTTCACAACTAGGAGAATTTTTATGTCTGATAAAAAAGGAGAGGCCTGATTTAGACTCAGAGGTGAATATGCAGTTTCCATTGAAGTTATATAGAGCTACATTATTTCATTCAAGGGAAGTTTTAGTAAAGGTGAATGAGTCCTAGTTCCTGTCCTAGTGATTGGTTGTTGTAGACACTTCCTTCCTGGGTAGCTAGTAGGAAGATGGATTGCCAGAGTAGGCCATTAAAGAACTTGTGTATGCTAGGTGGTCTGCTAAGGTTTAAAGTGGAGGTAAGACCACATTTCCTGTCCTTTCAAAGATTTCTGAGTTATGTTAAAGAGCACCAGTCCCTGGCAAGAGAGATGAAATTCCAAGACGATAGTACTAGTATTTTCCAACTGACTAACACATCAGCTTGAAAATTCCTGCTCTTTTCAGAACACCATTTAACTTGTGAAGATGCTATAAATCATGTACGGGACACACATGCACTGTGTACTTCAAAGTGAAAATAAATGTCCACAATTTATTCTGACATTCGCTTACTTTCAAATTCTTGAGGTTAGCAATTCTGTCATTTGCCTATCATGGATCAATACTACATAACATTCTTCTCTTTCGTGGATCCAAACTCATGCTAATTAGGTCTGTGCAATCAGGCAGTGCTATCTCATTAGCAAATTAAAACGTGGGTGTCCACTCTGCTTCTGTCATCTAGAGTTAAAACTCTTGCCTTCCCCCCTTGAAGGAAGCAATAGTAGTGAAAGTGTGTTATGGTGCCTCAGCCCTGCAGCTGAAATTTTACCATCACTCGCTGACAGACCAGACATGTCTCTGAGATTATTTTAATCCGGAGGCATAACGCTGCAGATCTCACAAACCTTACTGGCTCTGTTGCCTGGCACACTTATTTAGCTCATGAAGGTAAGGGAGACATGAGTGAAATAAAGCTTTATGACAAATTATCATTTCTATCCTAATTCTGGCCCAGAAGTAAATACAAATGTCGATGTTTGTGTACAGTCTTGCTGTTAGCTTGACGTCCATTAGCTTTTCCATTGCTTCTGATCAGTCATCATCAAATGATGCTATTTAATTTCTGTTTGCTTAAGAACAGTTTTACTTTTGCATTTGTTGCATATCAGTTGCCAGTGCTTTTAAAATATTTCTGCCCAGGCTAGAAATCCTATTCTGCAAAATGCCCATGACTGATTTATGTTTGATAATATTATTCAAATCATAAACGAGTTCCCCTCTGCACTCTGCAGTTCCTCAAAGAGTTGCCCATCTCCCCATCTTCCTTTCTCCAGCTGTTGGCCTGGTCCTGTCCTTTAGTCCTAAAGCATCAGTATTTCCCCAGCATTGCTCTCTCCCAGGACATGTCTAGACTACATTCCTCTTTCGAAAGAGGGATGTAAATTATACAGATCAAAATTGCAAATGAAATCAGGATTTGAATTTCCCACGCTTCATTTGCATAATGGCAGCCGGACGTTCTTTCGAAACAGTGTCTTTCGAAAGTGAAACCGCCATCTGGACACAGTTCTTTCAGGGGAAAAATCCTTTTTCAAAAGATCCTGTACTTCTCATATTTTGGGACCTCGTGGCCTGACCTACCGTGAATAGCACCTTGTTCTATGGGCTGCCTCCCTGATATCACTAGGACTAATATCTGTGGAACAAACTATGCTCAGTGTGAGTAGCAGTATTACAATTTGGTCCATATTGTAGACTTCTGTTTCCTGCAACTGCTTAACTCTTGTGAGAGGGAAGTGCAGTTCTTGAATCTTGTGATATCTCACAATTGTCCGAATGCCCCGGTGGATGAGGAGACCAAAGGAGATTATTTTATTAGAAAATACATTATTTTAAACTGGCCCCTGATTTGTGATTTTTGCAAGCATGGGGAAGGCAATATTTTTAAATTGGTTTCTACTCTCTGGAACTGGCATGCTGGGGTCACTCCCTTCAAGTGAATGTAGATACTGAACTTGCTTCACAGAGCGGTAGGGTTGCCCAGTGTCCGGTTTTTGACCAGAACGCTCAGTCCAAAGGGTACCAATGAGAGCTGAGAGAGCGGCACCTGCAGGTACAGGCAGGATACAGCATGCAAAGCTACCTGGCTGTGTCTCCTAGGAACCAGACATGCTGGCTGCTTCTGGGAGCAGCATGGAGCCAGGGCAGGCAAGGATTCTGCTTAGGATCCTGCTGTGCTGCCAAGCAGGAGCCACCTGAGATTAGCATCACCCAGCCAAAGCCCAAACCCACAGCCCAACTCTCTTCCCAGGTGGGAATCCTCTTCCACACTCCAACTCCATCTCAGAGCCTGGAGCACCTTCCTGCGTTACAGATCACTTATCCCCAACCCCACCCTAAAGTCTGCACCCCCTCGCACACTCCAAACACTTGCCCGAGTCCAGCGTCCCCTCCTGCATCCCAAGTCTCTCAGCCCCAGCCTGAAGATTCCTCCCACACACTGAAACTCTCATTTCTGGCCTCACCCTGGAGCCTGCACTCCCAGCTGGAGCATCCATCCCCTCCCACTCCCAGAGCCGTGAAAGTGAGTGAGGGGGATGAGCGAGGGAGGGTGGGGGTCTGCAGTGGGTGCGGGAGAGGTCTCTGAGAAGGGGTGGGGGGCATGAGCGTGGCCTTGGAAAGGGGAAGGACAGGGGCAGAGCACGGATGTTTGTTTTTGTGCAGTTAGAAAGTTGGCAACTCTACAAAGAGGCTCCTTGCTGCTCTGTTCATCTTTCCTGCTGTCTGCTTTTGTGCAGCAGAGGGGGAGTGTTTCAGAACAATATGCTCTTATCTCCTGACATCATTTTCAGAGGCTTTTGGGCTGCGATCCCATTACATTTCTTCTCTGTCTCTTTGACATCCATTCACCCAGGGAAGGACCCACATAAGCATAACAGGGGAGGGGAGATAATGTGACATAAATGGAACTCCCCAGAGGACAAGGAGCCTGAACAATTGGGATGCTGTGACAAGAGAGGGCCCCGGGTCAGCTGAAATGTACTGACCAAGCCGTGTGAGGATGTTTACATAATGCTTGCTGGTAATTTCTCTAGTTCAAGCCAACACTCTTAGTCCCACTCATGCATGCATCTTTTTTTAAAAGCTTATTGAATAAATACTATAACCACATGGTCTTTTTAGAACTAGGAGGGATCCATGCAAAAACAAAACAAAAAACAAAAAAACACCACAAAATCCCTTTAATGCTAAGGTCTGCAAATTGAATGAAAACAACTTCTATAAATGAAAAGGAAATGACAGCCTGCTCTAGATACAGCTGATAGTTATTATAAATATATTGATTGGGCTAAATTATTAACTAGATTTATTTTTGAACTGGAAATTCATCTCCTGAGAAAATGTGTTGCAATTGGGGGCTTCTGGCTAGCCCTGCTCTATCGCAATCAGCTTTGCTTTCTGTACACCTGTCTTATAAATAATAAATGTGAATATGCAACTTGCAACAAATTTCATATGGGATATAAAAAATTTAGCACAGATTAGGAGGTGCTAAACTGCAGTCCCATAAACATGTCTGGAAACATAAAGTCACAAACATAATAATTGCAGATTTCACTGTGGTGTACAAACTGCTAAATGTGCCATAATTGGATAAAATCATAACAAATGTATCAACCTGCAAAGTTTAGTGAGCATAGTTTATTTACATTATGTTTAGCAAGAAAAGGCAACATATTGTTTTCTTCAATATATTCTCACCCCTATCCTCTTTGCAAATAGTTGTTCAAAATAATAATAATAATAATAATAATAATAATAATAATAATAATAAATATTCTGAAAATTTCCCTGTCTGCTTCATCCAATAGATGAAGTAATAAAGCATAAAACATGTCATCATTTTGTTTTGTATAGAAACTGTGAAAAATGTTGTTTCCTAAAAATCTATCCAAAAGAGAGGGCTCAGAATAGTCCACTGATGCCACCTGATGAGCTGTGAAGCTGATGGTTGGCAAATCTCCACTTTGCACATTAAAGGCTTTGTTCTACCTTCCCCAGGCCCGGTGTAGACCACTGCTTTCTTTAGAGTTTAATTAGGAACAGCACCACACAGCTCATTGGATCCAATTATAATGGGCTGGAATTTAGTGTGCAGCTACTGAAGATTTAAAAAAAATGTAAAGAGAGATTTGACCAGATGAGCAGAGTGAAAAGTATTGGGCTTAATTCTAAATTAGGTTCACTAATGTGTCTCACTGCGTGTTTTGGAAAAATGACTGTCAGCTTGTGCATTTCTGTGGACATGCCATAACAATTTTTTCAAGATAACTGCAGATTAAAATACTTACGATAGAATTGATCCTCGACACTTCAAAGCCTCATCAGAAATGGGATTGCTAAAAGTGTCACTTGGCTATTTTAA